CATTCTTGGTGTTAAGATATTGCAGTGATACTTCGGATCATGAATGCTGTTGTTTGCAAACAGTCTGATTTGCAAAGAGAAGCATCTGGAAAAATTAATTTTTGTTTGTGAACTCTGCATCAGGTGATAAACACAAATATGACATCTTTTCTAGAACCTTGAGATGAATTTTGTGAACCAAGACATAGTTCCACTCTTCTACAATTTTTAAACTAATGCAATATACCATGCTACCTTGCTACTTTCATAAGACCATGTATTCTCTAGGTTAAAACAAGCAGATAATAGAGGAATGAGTTGTGGGTCTTATGATCACCAGTTTGGGAGGTGATGAGACGTTTTAGTGGTAGGGCCTTATTTTAGGTCTGAAGATCACTGGAGACATGGTGGGGACATGGCTTTTTTCTCTTCTTCTCCTTTGCATCCTGACCATGAGGAAACAGTTATGTTTTGCTATGGCTTCCTTCCATGATATGCTGCCTTGCCACAGGCCCAAAATCAACAGAGCCAGCAGATCATGGACTGGGGCCTCCCACATTGAGCCAGAATAACCTTGCTCCTCTCTATGAGTTGATTATCTCAGGTATTGGCTATGGTGATGAAAGCTAAGACAGTACATGTGTTAACTTCAAAAGAAGCTTCAGAGTAGAATCATTTCCAAGTGCTCAGTTGTTTTAGAGAACTAATGTCAACAAGAGTTTTGTCCTCTCATACACTATTGTATACATAGGACATGCAAGATTTGCTTTGATGAAAGAGAACACAACAACAGTGCCTTTTGAACCAAGGCAGAATCTTTTCTTTTTTACCTTATTTATTTAGAATAAATTAGGGAATTAGGTACCATAAACTTGCCTCTATTGCAGTTTTATGGGCCTTTTTCCTATGATGCAATATAACAAATGGCATTTTAATTCCTAGCTAAGAGGAATTCTTTCTCTCCTACAGTTTTCCTGGAAGCTAACATTTTATACACATTCTTCCTTTGCATTTGATAATGGACATGAACAATCCGATTTGAAGCCTGATAAGGTGTTTTGCTATATGAAGAGGAGGAGCTATTGGAATTTCTAAGCAACAAAGTAATTTTTTCCAAAAGAAATGACTTTAGGTGACCTGTTGACAAGAACACCAAAGCAATATAAATTATGCTCTATTTCAATCATATAGTTGTCCTATGGCATAAGTATCAACCAGACATGAACCATTTTGCTAGGATGAAAGGATGACTTGGCTCCTGTTCTGCTGAAGTGTATAATTTAACTGCAAAGAAAGACACTGTGTAGTTACAAAATGTCGTGCATAATTACAAAGTATGACAAATATGCAGTACAAGAACAGGTGACAATGAAAATGTATTTCCAAGGGATTATCCTAATTCATAGGACTCATGTAGATAACATTCAGAGACCTTAAAATGTGTGATGACCGGGCTTAATTAGAAATATCATGGTTCAATTTTGGGTAATTCAGGTTTGAGATAAGGTCACAGTGAAGTACAATACACACTAGAATATACACAGAAGTCGCGATTGAACACATAAATTTAAGAATCTTAAATCATTAAGTGATAAACTGGAAGTGAAAATGAATTTAGAGGTAGAGCTGAAGATGAAAGAGGAACCCTAACAGGTCTCAAGAAGTTCCAGCATTTAAAGGTTAGACTGAGGAAATAAGCTGGCAAAGATACAGGAGTCACCGGATGACAGAGGCAGATCTGCCTGGAAACTGAAGAAGCTTCACATTCTGGGTCCTTCTTTTCCTCAACAGGAAACTTAGCAATACACTTCGATGGCCTTGTTTTGAAAATTCTTCAAAAGAGACCAGTTTCTCAGTCTCTCTCTCAAAGATGACTATCGAGTCACAGAAATCTTAAAATAGGAGGAGAGAATCACAGAATTTGATTACAAGAAATTAAACGTTGGGTGCGCTGGGGCGGGGGGTGGGGGAGACGGAAACTGGAGGCGTCAAGGAAAGCGCCCAACAGGTGTGCGCGCTGGAGAAAAGAAACACTGCCCGTGCTGTGGGTAGCGCAGGCCCCCGCGTCCTCGGAGGAGCCCGGTCGGCGCGGCCCAACGCGCAGAAGACCCGCTGTCGTCCAGAACTCTGCCACAGAGAAAGTTTTACTACTCTGCTGCAAGAGAACTTCAAGAAGATTTTAAATGGCACTGCTGTCTTGTGATTGTTTAATATCAGACACAGCTACTGAAAAACAACTTCTTGGAAAACTGGCGAGACTCACAAAGCGAGGCTACCAGAAACGCAATCTTCACGCGGCCGGACAGAGGCGCACGCACCACGTCACCGCGAGCCGCGCCGGCCTCCTCCCGGCTTCCCAGGCCACAAGGCGCACCTCCGCGCCCGCAGCGCCCACGAGCGGGCTCTGCCGCGGGCGGCCGTGCTCAGGACGCAGTCCGACAGCGGGACGGGAGGCTCCGGGCTCGCCG